GAGACATATAACGCTACCTTGGTCGAGACATACAACACTACCTTGGTCCAGACATATAACGCTACCTTGGTCCAAACATATAACGCTACCTTGGTCGAGACATACAACACTACCTTGGTCCAGACATATAACGCTACCTTGGTCGAGACATACAACACTAGCTTGGTCGAGACATATAACGCTTCCTTGGTCAAGACATATAACGCTACCTTGGCCGAGACATATAACGCTACCTTGGTCGAGACATATAACGCTACCTTTTTGGTCGAGACATACAACACTACCTTGGTCAAGACATATAACGCTACCTTGGTCGAGACATATAACGCTACCTTGGTCGAGACATATAACGCTACATTGGTCGAGACATACAACACTACCTTGGTTCAGACATATAATGCTACCTTGGTCGAGACATATAACGCTACCTTGGTCGAGACATACAACGCTACCTTGGTCGAGACATACAACACTACCTTGGTCCAGACATATAACGCTACCTTGGTCCAGACATATAACGCTACCTTGGTCGAGAGAGGAACCTTGAAGAAATGACTCGGCGATGGTATAGTGTTGGAGCGCCCAGTAGACTGTTTCACGAAACTTGATCAGGTTAAAATTTGCTATCTTATAATATTATCCATTGAATATGGCCACGCTTTTAGTTGTACGTTCGCGAATGATAGATATCCAACTTTTGAAATTAAAAACATATAATTACTTCAATGTCGGAAGTCCCTTCTGTATTTTGTTGATACATAAAGATCAATGGGCAGGTAAAGTGGGAAAAAAATCAGTCGGCTTTCACTAATTTTGATATACAGTAACGTTAACATACACACAGGCCAAGGTTTATGCAGTATTCAATACGTATTTTAAAGAATTATTTGTTTAATAAATTGGTGAAAGAGATCGATAATTGAGAACAACTTTGTATTCGATGAAAGGTAACTCTTACAGATATAGCAGCACTGGCGATCAATCAATTATCAATGATTAAAGTACAAAGATATCCGTACTTAATTGTTACCGGATCTACTCAGAAGGTATATGTGTCAGGGCCAATAGTGTGGGGGTCTATATCGGAGGTCTTTACTCGTTGTCGTATTAGAATTATCAGGTTTAATAATTGGAAATTGATACCGTTGGAATGATGAAATATTTGCGTACCTTCTTTTCCAAAATAAATGTATATGGACCTTGTTTTATGTTAAGCTTTACGTTTTTAAACAATTTAATTTCGTGTGTTAGAATCATAGGGTCAACATACAAGAACAAAATAAAATAATGAATTCCAAATGACAAAAACAGAAATCGAGGAGACACCGAAACAAAAAGAGATACATCATACCCCTCTATTAATTCCGCGAAGCCAAGTTTCACAAACGAAATCAATATTGTCAACAAATAGGATAAATTACACCACAATGTCCGCAGGACCATGCAACAATCGAGAGACACCAACACAAACACAATGTGTTCCCCGAAAACCCGACGGCAAACCAGATACTGCGGAGAGTAAACATTTCCGAACCAAGCAGATACTGAGGACAAAATCAACATTGATTTAAGTATAGCAGATACTGAGGACAAAATCAACATTGATTTAAGTATAGCAAATACCGAGGACAAAATCAACATTGATTTAAGAATAGCAGATACTGAGGACAAAATCAACATTGATTTAAGTATATCAGATACCGAGGACAAAATCAACATTGATTTAAGAATAGCAGATACTGAGGACAAAATCAACATTGATTTAAGTATAGCAGATACTGAGGACAAAATCAACATTGATTTAAGTATAGCAGATACTGAGGACAAAATCAACATTGACTTATGTATAGCAGAACATGAGGACAAAATTAACATTACTTTAAGTTTAGCAGAACCCGAGGACAAAATTAACATTACTTCAAGTATAGCAGATACTGGGGGAAACATTACCATTGCTTGAAGTATAGCTGATCCTGAGTTTTCACAATGTTCTGGTGCAACCAGACATACAATTACAAAATCAACAATCCTGTGCTTGTGTACTGATATTTTTGAATGCATAACATATCGAGAATTAGTTTGCCTCGCGAAAACTGTTGAGGTGTAAGATAATGCATGTGATTGCAAAGCTGGTAAAGCACACATATTGACGAAGAATCGTAAGTTCGGGTCAGTTTCAGACGATAGGATGATGATGTATCTATTTAACTCTGCCAGTCTAGAGTGGTATACGATAGGTCTAGAATGTGAACGAAGTGAAAGATTCGCGAAATTTTGATTTCCATTAAGATCCATATACGAATTTGCGAACATACATGAGACTTAGTGTTGTACAGTGTTTATATCATCACACATACCACGGTAGATTGGTTATATCTCCCGAATACTTAGTTCAACGAACTGACCTATTCGAAACTATCCGCTAGGAAATAAGTTCATGTTTCAATGAGCGTGTTTATCATCCGTTATGTAGCAATAGCTATTCGCGTCATACTGCGCATCGAACTTGAAATCGATGCTTAACGCTAAACTAATAGCACACTGCATATAGGTAACCTGCAAAATATATTCAATGAATTGTCGTTAAATATTTTCGTATAATTGACTAATCAAGAACGTGATAATGTAAACACAATTATATCTCGCAAATTGATTTATTTTTTTAGATAGACATGAATATTAAAGCACCTCATTTTTTGAAAAGTAATCAGATTCTTGATATACGGTGTTGTTGGAGTAAAGATTAGATTATCTACACCCTCGCTTTGTTGATTATGAACGAGGCATATTAAATCTAATACTAATCAAACTTCGCTGACATGTCTGTTATCAATACCAGAGATACGTTTACACGTCCCTGATTCTGGATAAGGTAATCGGTATTGATATCTAAGCTCGTATACAGGGTGTCAGATATTCTGTCAGTGGATATGGCTGCACTTGGCAAGACTATTAGAGTCGCTAACTTTATTAAATGTACGAGACGTACTTTTAACAATATTAAAAAGCTGACGTTCAATAATATACAGTGATATTTACCTGTAAGATTTTATAATTATATCTTCATTGACATGTCATGGCCTGTGTAGTGTATATTTACGTCTATATGAAACTACTTTATGGCAGTCGGGACTAATGTATTAGCTACACGAGACACCAACTAATTATTCTTAGTAAAATATACTATATTCACATTTTATAATATTAGGAACTTATATTACAATTACATCGGCGCATATTTCTGCGGCGATGAAGGTAACAGTTGGTTTGAACTCTTTCACTACACCATTGGAGACGGAAAAACACATTTTAATAACATATTTATAAAAAGATACCAACAGATTATTCGGGGAAAATAACTGCTTGAAATATGTAAAGCATTACGACTATTTGATAAAAAAAAAATTGTACTTACTACGACGGAGCCTGTCGTATGCAACTTTTTAATGTGGTAGTGATACAGTTGTTCACCTCTGTATCTGATCATACTTTTAACGCTTAAAACGGTGACTTGTTCTGTACCCATAGAAAGAAAATACACGAAATTGGCACATCTTATAACTCATCAGGATTTCATCAAAACACAATGAGCCTGCACTCACCTATCTGACCGTTCATATTGTTATTCTGTCAATAAGAAATGCTTCATAATGTTTAAGAATTAAGAAAGTCAGTGGAAACATATCCTTTACCCTTATATAAGTGTGCTCCGATGGCGCAATATAAAGCGCACCCGCCTTTCACCAAGACGACCAGGGTTTGATTCCCCGATCGGACGTGAAAAGGCAAAGGGTCACCTGCCCGACCGTCGGAGCTCTTCCACCCGGGCCAACATTATAAGTTTCGAAAAAAACCTTGTTTCATTAGTATTGTAAAAAAAAAAATGTTTGTATTTAATGTACGTGTATCATATACAGGTAAAGTAGTGCAGTTTGTTTTTTATTCATTTATTTACATTATAATGGTAATTGTTCGATATGGGTTTAAAAGAAAATCATTGATATTGTTACCATAGCAGGTTCTTTCGATAAAATGCCTAAAAGAAATAATACATACAGGAAGTTGCTTTGATAACGTTGATAACGTTGATAATAACGTTGATAACGTTGATAACGTAAACAGAAACTATTTGCTGTCAGTATAATGCCTCTTAATACACCTTACAGAATACACACGTATACAAGAAAAACATCATTCTAAGACCATAACGAGTCCCATATTTACATGGTACAAACAAGTCTGTTTAGATTGAATTAAAATTAGTTTATGTGATTTTAAATGAAAGTTCCAACACTTCAAACACTAACGATTTATTTTCGTTGTTATTCACAGGTTATCGGTTTTATAGAATGCGGTATATGTCTGTAAGAGAACGAGTTTTTAAGCTTATGATTATCTGAACACAAAAGCACATTTGTCGCTCTGGTGCTGGACAGGAGACATTTTGATATAAAGTGTATCGTTATTTATCTAGTTGATTATTTCCTAAAGAGATCTGTACCGAGTGTATTGACCACTGTACCCGGCTTGGTGAAATATTGACCTAAGCGACCAGGAGGGTCAATATAACGTAGCGATAATGTGTTTATATAGCACCTGGAGAGAAAGATTACAGAAACTATACCAAACAACCTGGGAAAGCCTCGAACTTCATACGTTTATCTATGATCTTAATTCAATATTGAATATGAAAAACACATGTTTATTCATTAACGATCTATTCCACTTAAGAAACTCTAGAAAACATAAAGAAAATGATAATAAGTTTACAAGTAGTTTAGTGACTATTTTTTTCGTAAATGTTTTGTGCCTACTCAATTTATTTGATCACTTCACGATATTTTATGTTCGACACCTACAGGTCAATGTCGACCTTGATAAGAGATTGTTGAAAGGAAATTGTCGACAATCTGATATGCACCATATTTGTACGCTAATATTATTTGTCAAAGATAACTCTTGGTTATAGAAAACTTCTTATATTTTAACCGCCCACTTACCTCCACTGTCGATGTCCTGCAACAAGCCTGGCATATATCCATGAGCATGCACCATTTTGACAGTCATTGCGTTCATCTTGACGTCTCGAATCTTTTTGGCTGCTTTGACTTTGACTATCAGTTTCCTCTGTGCTTCCTCCAGTTCACGTGTGTCACGTTCGTCTTTGTCAAATGCATCGTACATTCTTGATGTCACTTTAATACTTCCTTCGTACACTTTCTTCAGTTTATGAACCTCTTTCTGCACCTCGTATCTTCCCTTTTTGATATCCATCATTTTCTTTGTTATCATTTTAGCACGTTTTTCCAATTGTTTGATTTCCTGCCTTATGCTTTCTGCATTTTCCATTATCATATCTACAGCTTTCTGCGTCGTTGTGTCCTTGTGATGAAGTTTATCAAGGGTTTCAATCAAGTCCTCTTTCTGCATTTCTATTTCGTCGTTTATAAATCCCAGTGTATCCGAGTATGCCAGTTCCTGTTTCCGACATACCCTCCTCTCTGTCAGTACATGCTGGAGCTTACCATTTATTAACTTTGAATTAAACCCTGACCTCTTCACTTTTCCTTTTCGCTCCTCAGAGTTCATATGTCGCCTGCGTATGTTTTCTGTGATATCCAGCTTCTGTTGTAGATATTTGTTAGATTCATCGAGCAGTTTCCTCGGGTAGGCCTCATCTGCTGTTACCCAGTCTTTGATAGGAGCTGTGATTTTCGGAAACACTTCAATGACTTCTGACATCAAATGCAACAGTGTACCGTAGCGTTGGATATATTCTTCGAAATTGGACAAGGCAAATTCATGGTAGTCTCGAAAACGGTTTTCCAGCAACGCAATGCCATCCAGAACTTTCTCTGTCCACACTCCGATGTGATTCTCGTATTCTTGCGCTGCTAAAATATCTGTCAAATGACATGAATTGATAATCTTAAGATGGTTCTCTAGCAATTGATTTTCACAAAATTTGCTAGTAGAAATTTATCCAGCGAATATATTTCGAAAATTTCCATATTTCTTTACCATATCGTATACGTCCCCGCTATGCGATGATGTACAGTGTTTGAAATGTGCAGGATCAAACTGTCTATACCCTCTTAAACATAAGAACATCACCAAAAAGGAAACACCTATTCAAAACTGAACTAAGCGATGCAAAAGACCAAAGTAAACGGTAGCATATGGCCACTTCGTCCATTTAGAAATTTGTGGTACTAAATGTCAACAAAATGAAAATTCAATGTCTAAAATATTCCGAAACATGCAAAGAACTACAGCAAAGGGGATAGGTGCCTACAAAACCTGTCATAACGTTCCAAATTTATACCATACAGGTCATTCTTATTACCTGTTATTTCATGTAACTCTTTCGGAAGAGCAATGACTTCAAGGAGTTAATATGCTCGTACTTTTTCAGGTGGTGAAAATAAAGATAATAAAATCCTAATAAAATACAAACGTTACATACTATTAATGTTTACTGGACTATTGCATTTGTATTTGTATGAAATAACTATTTACGTTTGCTCGTGGTAAATAAAAGTATTTAGATGAAGAAAACTGGACCTACCTTTACATGCAGTTTCCTGGCAGAAGCTTAGACAATATTTGCGTACATGGTCATGTAGCGCACTTTGCAGTCGCCTTCTACTTTGAACAATCATGGCGTCAAATGCTTTTGCACGATTCACGACTCTTTTCAGTTCCAAGTATATCTTCTTGTTGGCGTTTGCGATGGATTGTTCTTTGACTTTTTCCATGTGAAAGGCAAATTCTTTGTAGCTGGACCACTGTTTCACTCCTATCTTGCCTTTGACAGCTGTGAGGTATGTGACCCATTCATCCACATGGTCATCGTTTGCCGTTTTCAACCATTTGTTGTAGAACGTTTCCAGTTCTCGTTCAACAGCGAACACTAAACTCATAGCCTTTCTCCGCTCTGACTCGAGAGACAGAGGGTGGCCATCAGCAGAGGAGTAGGAAGCTATCCGAAACATGATGAATTTTGTCTCTTTCATTAAATCATTTTAAAATCACTTCGCAAGACATTGTATTTCTTATCCAGTATCTTACCAAATGAAAGTAGTATCTAGAGAAGTATGTCCACTTCCTATGACTGTTAAATATTCCACACAATACCAAACTAGGCACAGGTTGCGCTGTGTATGGTTTAACTCCAGGTGTGATGTGTTTATCCTGGACTACCTAGAGCGATAGCAGCCACGTCCACTGTTAAATGTCAGAAAACATCAATATCTCGTGGTGCTTTATGTCAGGGCACGCTCAACCTATATAACGGCATTAGATGTTGAAATCAAATAAAATATGTAAATATTCACTTACGCGTGTACATCCGCAAGTGTAACAATACGCTTGAGATTTAATACCGGACAAAACAAGTTGAAGAATATATCTACATCTCCTAACACGAAAGTTCTCCCAGGGACAGTTTCAGTAGAGTCCTCACACCTGAACTGTTACCTTTCCAGTACAGGTAAACTCCTATCTGTAGTACGGTTATATAGGTATTGGATGTTTACTGATACACCTGTCGATTAGCCCTGTATGGTATTTCTTATGCTATAGACAAATAATCGTACGGCCAAAACTCCCAACACTATCTCGTTCCGTGTCATCTGGCTTATGTTCAATGGTGTTGTGTATTTAAAAATGCCCCTTTAAGTTAAGGCTTAGCGTATTCCATTGCATGTAGAGGAGGTATTATAGTATATATGTCATGCTCTCGTTTCTCAATAGGCCCTTGGATATACTCTTACAGATCTTCGGCTTTATAAACTGAAAAACATTTTATTTTTGTGGAAACTTGTCTTCACGGATGTAATATACTCGCAAGGATTTGAAGTTACAACCATGAAAAAAAATATACGATTCATCAACGTCCGGATGTGCAGATAATGTAATTAAACCCATAGGGTCAAATTCTTATGACGTAAGAATAAAGTTTATGAAATCTCTTCCCACGGGTTTTAATTACATTATCAAGCCTAATTAATGAATGACATATTGATGCCATTTCTAGTCTATAAAAAGAATACATTGTATTGAAAACAACGAAGATTTCCGGTAACGTAAAGTAGTGACTGTGATGTCGATTGTTTTGTTGATTAGACATCATTGCTATCGTTGGTGTGATGTTACGTCATTTTGAGACAAAGCGTGTCAGATAGTCTAGCACCAAGATGCTAGGGAGATATTTCTTTTACCACCGAAAACATTTTCCAGAAATATTGTATTTTGCAACCGACTTATCTTTGAAAAAAGCGAGCAACATGTTCACAATCTGATAACAAACTCATGTGTTTCAAATAGCCCGTTGTCTCGGAGTCCTTATTTGATCTAAAAGTATTTAAATAGTGTATAACAATCCCTTTTTTCGGAGTCATGATTTGGAAATGTATCCCAAATACCTTATTTGTGAGGATTTATATTCACTAAATACATATTGCGTCATATGTAACTTCTGATCGAGGCTTCTGGTGCATTAACACGTAATAGTGTATATTATTTGATTGCGTTTATACAAGTCATAACTTACTTGTGCAACGCTTTTAGGATAATAAGCTTTATAATAAATACAGTGTTGTCCTTTGTTCATCACAGAAGACGAAACTTGATATTTCTTTGATTAGGATTTGTTTCAAGTTTAGTACACACAAAATGGTATATAATTTCATTCCTGGAAATGACGGACTACATAATAAACATTTGGTACAAAAAACACGTGTCTTTAGAACAACTTGCTATAGCCTCCGTGGTTCGAGTGGGTTAATGCTGTCTGTCGGTTTATTTAATGTCTCCTCAGTTACTGTTGATTTCGTGTCGAATTTCAGTTCTGATTTTGTTCTTTAGTATTGGCACTTTGCAGGATATTGTCTGTGCTAATTCAAAGCCTAACATAAAAAGTATTAGCTTACACAATCTACAAGAGTATTTTCTTTTATCAGGTGCAGTTAACACCTTTCTGTGACAGGAATAGGAACAAATAAGGTACACGCAATTTTAACTAAAACACACATGGGCCCTGAGACAAAACGGAAATAGCAAACCGAAGTTTAAATAACATATAAATAACACAGCAATTTTAAGTACAAACATTTATTAGACGGTGAAATTGTAAGGTAAAGATAAATAAACGAAATAATTTGATTTTTAACCATGTAATATCAGCATTAAGATTAAATCTGTATTGTCATTCTAAATGCTGTCGGTAATACTAGACGTTGTGAAAAACAAGTAGGCAATTTAAAATAACGTCCTTTACAACGCTGCATTGCATTTTAAAAAAAGAAATAAAAGTATTAGACTTATGAACACAATGTCATTGCGCAAATTTTGACTGTGCTCTCAATGTTTTGTCATAGTACCTGAATCCGTTCACTATAGTAGCTATAATTACTCCATTTAAAAACTATTCTAAATGAAACTAATATACAAAACAGCAAGGTTAAGAAGTCTCGGAACGGTTGACAATGTAGTGTATAATATTTTTAAGGTGAGCAATTTTGCTATGCAATGCTTGTTAACCTGAAAATATAAATTTAAAGGAAAACATCTGAATTTCGATAGTATTTTCTTTTTTTTCTTTTTTGTTCTTCGTCAACAATGTCTTGAACAAGGTTTTGAAATATCACCGAAATTCATTTTCCATATCAAAAGCTGTACTACAGTTGTATGTACACGAAATGACTATCTTGCTCAATGCTCCGTTAATTAGCAATTTTATATTTTATTAAAACTTATGTAAGATTATGTTTAAATACATGAAAATGCAACATGTAACATAACGTTTCCTGATCTTACTTAACTTTATCAAAACCATTCTACAGGTTCTTATACATTCTAATACACTCATTAGACAATTTTTGCTCTTTAGAACTTCAGAGAAATCCTAATATGGAGAGTTCCATAAATTGGAATCGCGTTGGTCTGGATTCCAATTCAACTTCTGTGTCGCCCATCAAACAGATAATTTATGTAAAAATCTATATCCCACACATGTCGAAGTGGTGAAATTATGATGTATGACACTAAAGTGTTCGCTAAGTACCCTAAATGTCGTTCCGGGTTGTGTGTACGTGTTCAGTCTGAATACACCTTGGTAGATTATCATAATTAAAGCAGTAACACCACACAGACAAACGTATCGTATACCTGTTTACTGTCTAGTTTACATTTGAACGATATCATTGTAGCATTTTAAAAATTACTGTTCACTTGATTCATGATATACAAAGCGAAATAAAACATCCTTTATGACCTTTGATTGAATTTTACCTTTCGGTAACATGTTAACTTGAAACACAAGTACATTGTTTATTTGCATCCTTTATGTATCGAGTGATAAATCGAATTTAATCTCATCTTTCACTTTTGTGTGACACGAGTACCGCCTTTAAAAAGGAAATGTTTACTATTTCCTTGAAACTAACACTAACGGATGGTTTCTACGAATGTGAATTCACTATTTGCGTTTACTTTAAGTACACTAGAAGGTAGAAAAAGTCTCCTTTACCGATTACAAGTTCTGTTCAATGATTTCTACAAAGGGTAGTAATCATTGATGGCCACAAAACATATTGTTATAGTTACTTACATGTTCTTAGAGGTATATCGTTTACCTACACTAATTTTTGAATATGTTTAGTGTGTTGTATTGTAAGTGTACCGTCCTAAGTTTTAGACTAAAATTGGTTTGATGTATTCCACTGCAGTAGTATGACATTGTATGTCTTTAAGTTTGTTTTAATGACGCTTTAATTGGTTTCTGATTACAATGGTTTAAAAATAACAATCATTGATGGATATATAACGTACAGTACTTTTTTTTCTTTTTTTTTTCTTCTGATTTTATATTTGTACCTGAAATTTATATTACAGATAAATTATAGATCTATTCATTTTACAAAATATTTATGAAATATGTTTCGGACGGCTTGTTTTTATTTTGTTATCTTCCTCTGCTAATACTCCAGCTCTGATCAACATTTTAAACACATTTCGGCTGACTTCTATATGTCGTTACAATACTTTGTCCATAATCGAGGGCTGGTATTTAATAGGTTTACTGCCCCCTTTTAATCGTTCGTGCACCATTTGAAGTTCGCTGTGTATTCGGCCTGAATTTACTCCTTACGGTTTGTTAGCTTAACGATTAAAACTCGCATGTAACCAATCTGTATTAACAAATGTTGCGTGTAGAAAAACAGTACGTTTTTGTTTTATCTATAACTGTGCCCAGCCCTTTTTAATCTCACACAAGATAAGTTTCTAATACTGTTTCATAACAACGTCAACGAAACATTTCATTCTATTAAGGTAACCATACTTGATCATTTTAGTTCCTGTTTACGTGTTGAACAGGACAGTAAAAACCGCTCGAGCACGGTACTTTACATAAGGAGACAATTGGTGTTACATTGATCTGGGTCTTCAGGGAAGCAATTTAACAGTATTTGAATACTAAACGCAGATGTCTTTACTGAAAACGATCGAAGCACACCTAGATTTTCACAACTTATCAAGCTTAATTGCCTCCACTTCTCATGTTAGAACCAATAGCCTCGAGGTCTCGCTAGCATTGCAGTCGATGTATGTTTTCCATAATATTTAAATCGTTTAAATTACGCGTATGAGCTAGCTAGCAATTTGATTATTATTTGAAAGACACGAAAGTTATTATTGTTAGAGTGCACAAAAGTGAAAGTAATAAGTGATTTTCAATTTGTTATATTGAGTTTCTATTAGGAAAAAAATCTTTGTTTGAACAGATATAGGATATGTATTTAATTAAAAACATAATTTTATTACAAAATTATGAAGAGTGAAAACAAGACTTAAATAAGTAAAGATCAAGGGCAAAATCGGAACTCACAACCGATACGTATCAACAATTATAGAAAAATAGAACTTCAGATGCCCAAAAACGAAACGAAATACATGTACAGTATTGTATAACGGTGCTGAACCCTGGGTATAGTTTCCTTATCACATGTGTCCCGTCTGGATAAACGAATCTACTGTGATATGTTAACCCAACAGGAGGTAGAGGGTGGTATAAATGTGACTACCAAGAAAAAGAAAGTTAACAGTGGTGGAAGTGAAGTAGTCACGTGTAACATAGAGTTTAGTAGTGATTATATTTTACAAATTGTAGGTTAATGTCCGAAACAAAACCAAAAAAGTCCAGCCAGTGGCGTAATTAAATCTATTTCCATTCACGTATCCACACGAACATTAAGATTTGTTTCATGTTACATGAATACTGAATTCTTATAAGTTTCAGAATAATATTGGCCTGCTGGATGGCTTTTCATGTGTCTTTCAGTTTGCTTAAATGATGTTTTGGTTCTTTTTTTTTTTTTTTTTTTTTTTTTTTTTTTTTTTTTTTTTGTCGATTTTGAATTCATATCTTGCCCTTGTGTGTTGACGTAAAATTTAAGCTCGCGTCATTCTTACACAAGGAAAACTATAGATCAGGCTAGATGCTATTATCCTCCATCCTTCATTTTGCCAGGTTACGGTAATGTATTACTAAGTTAACAGGGTACAGTAGGTTCCAGCAGTGTAAACAAATGGTGTTTGAACATTATTTTATTCATTAGAGAA